CCTCTCCCGGACCGCTCTCTGCCGTCTTCACTATCAAGCTTTCGGCCGAACCGCCACGGGCCTTGTTCCCTTCGGTACACAGTGGCGGCCACCCCACAAATGTGGTTGGTGTGATCTCATAAGACTACAAGCCCCTCCGATGTACAATAATGGTGGGCGCAAGCACCGAGTGGTAAGAGGTGTGCAAACCTCACTAAACACTAGGCCTAAACCTAGAGCAAGCGCATAAGCGGTGGTCTAATCAACCTAAGCACTTCACAAAGCACCTACGCTAATCACCTAATGAATCACTAAGCACTATGCAAGTGGAGATCACTAAAATGGTGTATCAACACCTTTGGTATGTTTTTCCTCAACTCTCCACATCTCAAATGGCCGGTTGGGGGGTCTATTTATAAGGCTCACCGAGAAAGTAGCCATTGGGGGCGAAACCTAGCTTTTTGCTTATCGATCGACGCGCCCCGGTCGTCCCCGACTGATGGGCGCATGTTGATCGGACGCATTGCCAAGTCCGGTCACTGTTGATCGGACGCGTCCGGTCGCGCTATCGCCGCTCTGGAACCTATCTGGTTATTAGATATAATTAGATATAATTAATTATTCATTGAATAGGAGTTACATGGTAAGGTAATCGTTTTTTCCTCACTACACATAGGTTAGTGTGTCTTCATTCACATTGTAAAGATTAATTTATTAATTCAACAAGACCTATAATATTTGTTTTTCACTAAATTATGTACTCTGTTGTTGAGATGTAATCTTGATTTGTGGTGGCTATTTTGGTATGATACTCAACCGGGATCCTTAGGTAGTGGAGATGTGGATGGCGTCTCTTTGGGATCATCGAGGTTGGTTTACTTAAATTGGGTTGGTGAAGTGGATGACATCCGATTTATATAAATTAACACAATGGGTCCCAACATTACAGAACCATTTGACATGCATGGATCTCATCATGATGATGGGACTGCAGTGGAGGAGGAGGACGACGACGATAACACATTGCCAGATAGTGATTTAGTTGTTGACCTGTTCGTAGATGTAGAGTGGGCTGGAAGAAAGCCAAAGTTTGAAAGAGTGATGGCTGATTTGAAGCGGTTAGTTTTTCCTAGATCTATCCACTGAGGACTCTCCTTCCCTGTCAGGTTGCTCTCTATCAAGTCCCACTATCGAATTAGCAACAGAGCATTTGATGCATTGTTGGCACTGCTTTCGTCAGTATTCCCTAGGAGCCAACTACCAAAATCAAATGACGAGACACATGCCCACTTGGCAATGCATGCTATGTGAAATCATCTAGGCCCCTAGTGGGTTTTGATGATTAACACCAATATAAGATTATTGTGACTAACGTGTGTTTTGCAGAGGCAATTTGAGCTAGGTCACGATAATGGTGATTGCTTGGGCAATCAATGATTTTCATGCCCCTATGGATGGAATTTGTTTTGGCTTCCAAAGGATGGTCGACAAGGTTAAGGATGGACTAGTTCTAAGTGTCATTTGTTGAGAGATACTTAGATTAGTTTAGGAACCTTTTTCTCCTTTGGCCGTACTATAAAGGGGTTATGAACTATTAGCTTGACCTAGGTGAGTCAAATGTGTGCACACTTGTCAAACTTATCACTAAGTAGCTTAGGGACAGCCCAAAGATCATTTGGAGTAAACTCTGTTCACCAAGAATTTTGAATTGGAAGTGAATGGAGTGTTGTTTGATGCATTGGACGCTAGCGACGGCAGCATCGGATGACATGGCTTAGCGTCCGATCTGACTCAGAGGTGCGCAGCTTGGGTTTGAAGAACCATAGGATGCTAGTGCACTCCTACATCGGATGCAATAGAAACACTATTATGTGAGGGTCTGGTTCGCTAAATGTATCAGACGATGTTCACTATTGACATCAGACATAATGACGCTAGTGTTCGATGTGTTCCAGTGAGGTTCTAGAGAGGGCAAATCTACATCGGATGTGTCTGATGGGGTAGCATCGGATGCTACTCAGGCGTCTAGCAGTGTAACGGCTAGTTCTAACAGGTGACATTAGCACTATAGCATCTGAGCCATATCGGACGCTAGGGTTGCATCCGATGACTTTGACAGTTGTGTCCGATGCTCCTGATTTCTGTTGAATTGGTTCCCAACAGCAAGTTTGGGAAGTGGGGAGTATTTATACTTCTCCATCTCATGTATTGAGGCCCTCTTGTCAGCATTGTACCGTTTGCCATTTTTGTGCCATGTCATCTGTTTTGCGGATTCCTCGGTCATGTATAGCCGTTGGATCCTCGGTAGGAACGGAAGGTGCCGTAGGATTTTCACGGGGATCGTAAGTTGCCTCTTCTGGCCATCATCAGAGTCTACCTGTAGGATTTACACTTTGGACAGAACTTTGCATGCTCGTGTTCTTTCCTAAATAGGACACACCCCTTCGGACAAGCATGTATCTGCTCATACGGCATCTTAAGTGCACGAAGGAGTTTCTGGGACTCATACATGCTCTTTGGCAGAATGTGGCCCTCCGGAAGCATGGTGCCAATCATGGCCAACATCTTATCGAAGCCTTCTCGACTCAAGTTTAACTCAGACTTCAACCCCATTAAGCGTCCAATGGCATCAGTTGAGACACCGTTGACCGATCGTGAAGGGGTTTCTGTGTCGAGTCCATCATGTCGTAGAACGCCTGTGCGGCTGCCTCCATCTCCTCCTTCTCACGTCCCTCATCAAACTATCCTTGGTGAAAGTCATCTAACATGTCTACTACCCCTGCATCAGCATCAAAAGCCTCCACCCGTGGTCTCACCACCTCCTCTCTCATACGATGGGCTTCACCATGGTGGACCCACCGGGTGTAGTCCGGCATAAATCCATTCTTCACAAGATGTTTACCCATTTCCACCTTGTTTACCCTTCTTCTGTTTCCACATTTGCTGCAGGGACACAAAATTAGGCAATGTCCTTTAGCAGCCATGGCAAATGCACTATTCAAGAAAGCATCAGTCTTGTTCATCCATTCCGTGGTGTAATCACTCTGACTTCTCTAGCCCATGTACATCCACTGACGGTCATCCATCCTCTAACATATGTATCAGCGAGTAATGTAACCATCAATTGCATCTACATGGTGTTCCTACTGTCTAATAGGTGAGGATAGGTCCTAATCCCACCTGCGGATGTGTAGATGAGGTTAGTTTCCATGCTCTACTCCTATCCGAGATAGAATTTCGGTAGCACCTCCCCACTGTTCTCCAGATACACGTCCTACCAAAGAAGAGTGCGTATCCGGAGAACAACAGGGCGATGATGCTGAAACACTGTCTTGGACCGGAGCTGACCATGGAAACTAACCCATCTATGCATCCATGGGCTGTCCAAAAAATGTGGACAATCCAAAATAGATACGGTCATAGATATGCAAAGATCTTCATACTTCCAACCGTATCTCTTTCAAATGGGAGATGCCTAACTGGGTTACGTGATCTACGACCATGATACGGAAAGAGGGGTTATACCTAGGGTGGCGGCGGAGTTAGGCTAGCGGGGCCATGGTGGGTCGGTGCAGTGGCGATGCGACGCGGTGCAGGCAGACCGGCACGATGACGGGAACTCCGACTCGGCTCTGACGGGCTCTTCTCTACAAAATGGAACAAAATACTGTAATTTAACAAAAATTCAGCAGAACCTCCCCTGCACGGTGAGGTTTCCAAAACCTGCAAAAAACAACGGCACGATGGCCGACAAGCACATATGTCTCAAGAGAAGCCATGTAGTTTGGATATCAATCCATGCAGAAGAATATATCCAAGTAGTACCACTACTTCTACTACTACTTCCACTATTGCTACTACTACTACCACTAATTCTACTACTACTACTACCACTATTGCTACAACTACTACCACTAGTTCCACTACTACTACTACCACTACTTCTACTACTACTACCACTAATTCTACTACTACTACTACCACTAGTTGTACTACTACTACCACTACTTCTAATACTACTACTACCACGAGCACTACTAGTACAACTAATACTACTCCAACTATCACTACCACGACAACAACAAGAGAGAAGGCATACCTGACGGGCGCCGGGGTAGGGGCGGGCGGCGTTGGGGTCGGGATCACCGGAGTCGGGAACGGGGTCGGGCACGGGCGGTGTCAAGGCGGGCGGTCCACGGGGCGTGGCCGGGGGCAGGGCACGGGCAGCACGGGCGCACAGGCAGCGCAGGCGGTGGCGGCGCGGGCGCGCGGACGGTGGTGCGTGCGTGTGTGCGGTGTGCGTGGGCCGGCCCAGCCGGGAGGGGTTAAATCCCCCCTTTGCCGAGAGCCCCCGATCCGGCACTCGGCAAAGGGTTTTTTAATTTTTTTAACCACCTCTTTGTCGAGTGTCACCTGGCCTAGCACTCGGCAAAGAAGGTTTTTTTTAAAAAAAATTCTTTACCGAGTGTCCCAGATCTGGCACTCGGCAAAGATTTTTTTTTGGAAAATACTTTGCCGAGTGCCCCTAACACGGCGCTCGGCAAAGATTTTTTTTTGAAATGTCTTTGCCGGGTGCCCCTGTGAAGATGTCCTGACAGGGGCACTCGGCAAAGACATTTCGAAAGAAAAAATCTTTGCCGAGCGCTGTGTCAGGGGCACTCGACAAAGTATTTTCCAAAAAAAAAAATCTTTGCCGAGTGCCTAATAGTAGACACTCGGCAAAGAAGGACGTGGCCGAACACCGTTACGTGGGGCAGCCTATGCCGAGTGTCGAGCTTTTGCCGAGAGCCTGGCACTCGGCAAAGAAGTCCTTTGCCGAGAGCCTTTTTTTTGCCGAGTGCCCGGCACTCGGCAAAGAACTCTTTGCCGAGTGCAATTCTTTGCCGAGTGCCTGATTTTTGACACTCGGCAAAGCAGTTTGCACTCGGCAAAGATCCCATTTCTAGTAGTGCAGTCGCATAGCGGCATAGGCCAAACCAAACTGCATGCCCAATGTGACGACGCCTTCCGTCGCCGAAACATCACCAGTAGAGCTTCACCGGCGGCAACACAAAGTGCGACGCCTCGCCGAGGAAAGGCACCGCTTCCGGCCACGCCTGGAGGTCACCGTAGAACTGGTACTCAGCCTCGTAGTCATACACCTCCGTCTCCTTGCTCCGGTTGGTGTGGTAATGGTGCCTTACCCCCGCCGCCTTCCCGAACCCAAACATGGACACCCGCTCGCACACCCCGAGCGCGACCACCACCGCCTAGAACCCCGACGAGTAGTGGAAGTAGGGGTCCCTCCCGTCGCGCCTACACGCCCAGCCACTCGCCGGCTCCCCCGTGCCCACCACGAACCGCCGCAGCGAGTAGTACTTGGCGACGCGCGCGCACAGCGCGTCGAGGCACGTGTCGGTGAGGAGCAGCCGGAACGGTGCCGCCGGCGTGGCCGTGGCGTTGTAGGTGAGCAGGTATAGGAGGTGCTCGGGCCTACTGACGTACATCGCCAGCAGCGCCGCGCGGCCGTTGGGGTGGTAGGCGCGGGGTGGTGGCCGCCGTGGCCGTGGCACAGCGGTGGAGCACGAATGAGTGCGCCAGGGTGAGCGAGGTCCTGGCGCCGATGTCGCGCGTGAAGCCCATGATGGGGGCGTTGTTAAGGTGGATGATGAAGTCGTGCGCGTTGATCTGAGGGCCGCGGCCGGCACCTAGGAGGATGTCGCTGTTCCCGACGACGACGTAGGTGCGGATGCGTCGGCGCTGGCGCAGGCCAAGGAGGCTGGGGAGGTCGCCCATGACGCCGGCGACGTTGTTGGAGCCACGACGGTGGTGCTTGTGCGCGCGGAGGAAGGCGCGGTGTGAGGCGTGGAAGCCGGCGAGGAGGGAGCCGTCGGTCGGGAGCGTGTCGCTGGGGATGCGGAGGCGGAGCATGGTCCTCTGCCGCGGGCCGGATGTGCCGTTGCTGGAGTAAGGGAGGCAGAGGCAGAGGAGGCGGTGGTTGTAGTTGTCATGGCTGGGGGAGGAGGATATCGAGGCATTAGCCAACATTGTGGCCGCCTCGGCAACGATCTGGTCCCCACCGACGTCGATCGCTGATAGCCAGCGGAGGATTGCGTCGTCTTCGATGTGTTGGGATTGGGACGGGCCTCGTGGGAAAAGCAGGTGGCGGCAGAAGGAGAGGGTCACTAGCAAGTGTTAGATATTTAGGCATTTTTATTATCAGTTTAATCCATAAATATAACATCAGCAGGTTTGTGACAGCATATATGTGCATGCGTATATTTCTTATGAACGCTACAGCATGCATAGATGACATACAGATTGATACAGTAGAAATACAAAATACAGTAATCAGAGAGATTAGACTGTACCCAGCGGAGGGTCCCATGCCGAGGGCATCGGAGGCTCCATTCGCACTAGTCGACATAGTGTGTTGCTCGAAGTCGCGGAATACAGTCGATGCAGGAAGATGTTCACAGTGCAGTCCCACGAACGGATCACCAGGAAGAAGACGCCTTGACGTTCTAGGGAGAAGACGGATCCAAGAGCGATCTCTAGCAGGAAGAAGATGGACGAGCAGTCGCGCATCGCTCCCCAAAAACCTAATCGCCGCTCACCCCGTGCAGGATTCTCAGGCGGCCGAGGGTTCCGGAGGCACCTGCTCTCCCGCTCCTCCGTGCGCGTAGAGGTACGGGACGAGGAAGTCAGAAGGTTGCGGATCTGTGGTTCTCTCGGGAACTGTTATGGGAATACGGGGTCTGGACTAACGGAGGACAGGAAATATATGGCTGCTGCGGGGAAGGGAGAGAGGCAGCGGAGAATTCCAGGAGACGGAGGAGCGGAAGCGGAAAGGATGGTAACTGACGCAAAGGGAGTAACTCCCGTGATTATAGTGATTATATGGATTAAGTGGCAAAAGACTTGCCACGCCCGCTCGCCGCCTGCCTCGCCACGGCCCGGCCCGCGCCCACGGCCATGGCCCGGTCAGCGGCGGCGCGCGCGTGTGATATGCCTTTATACTTTTCTCAGCTTCTCAATTTAGATGAATAATTTCTAACTATATAAGCTGAGTCAGCGTTCAGTCAAAATCACGTATGGTGTTAAACCATACAACACTTAATGTTACGTACCATAGAGTTTTATTTGATTTATTAAATATTATATGGGCCAAGCTCATATTATATCCAACGGCAAGAGCACGGCGAGGAACATGACTGGCGGAAGGTGGCGGCGCCTCATCTGGGCCGCTGCGGTGGCCGAGGTCTGGGCTACGGGCTACCGGCATTGTGCTCCCCGGCGGTGAATCACAGATGGATGGGACTGCAGATGCTAATCACTCACTCCAGCGTCACATGTTCCGTCATCTTGTATTCCCGTTTCGATCGAAACCGTCGAGGAAAAGAAGGATGAGAAGGTGAAGATAGAGTTGCTCGGCTCCAGATCGTCATGGGCTCACCGCTCATGGCGAGTCATGCGTTGCTGGCAGCACTAGCTCTGGCGGGCGATTAGCAGGGTGGCAGGTCACATAGGACAAAGCGCATGCGGACTGGCCACACCAGTCGTCAGAAAACGATAATCAAGGCATGCATGCAGCCATGCACACGGATGATCAACACACAACCCCCACTGCGGTTCTTGGTCTTCCAACACGGTACGTATCTTTGATTCCTACACCTTGAACTTCATCATCGTATATATATAGATATTTATTCATGAGAACACATACGAGGTTCTTTTCAAAATACTACTAGGAGAATAATGTGCAAACTGTTGAGGGCAGCTGGATGTATATAACGAGGATAAAAATGAACAGCCTGTCACAAGGAATCTGCAGCTTTTGTTTGTTTGGCTATTGTCTGGACATGCCAAGAAGAAACAGGGCGACAGAGGAGCTGGTTACTGTTTAGTGTACCAAAAGATGAAGCATGATTTGTGGCGCCCTACAAGGCAATTTCACCTCCAGTGTAGCACCATCTATCGATCCGTGCTCTCGCACATGCTAAAATCTTCTGACGTAGAAGTATTAGTTATTTAGTTTCAGTACTTAGTACTTTTGAGTGAGAAAATTACTCCCTCAGTCCGATAAAAGGAGACGCTACGAGACTCGTAAGTTTGACTAGGTTTGTAAAAAATATTATTAATATTTATATTTTAAATAAGTTTATTATCAAAATATATTCAATGATTTATCTAATGATACTAATTATGTACTATAGATATTAATATTTTCTTATATATGTTTCCTGAAAATTAAAAATGTTTGACTTCTTGGGAGTGAGAATGACACGTTTTATGGGACGGAGGGGTGCTTATATTAAATTACATATTCTTTTTTCTCTTTGTTTAATATGCTGCTGAAAGTTTATACTATTTTTTGAGCATCTTAATAACCTCAAATGACAAAACTCAAAACTAGCAATTTTTAGATCTTGTGGTGGGCTAAAAATTGTCATATACAAAGTATATTTATCTAGTACAAGAAAGATATGATTTTTCTATGGCGATAAGCCTGTTCCGCCAGAAAAATCACCAAGGGGGATCTTTTTGTGTTTCACGAAGAAGAGACACTCTCTCGAGGAGTTGTACTACTTAGTACTGGGTTTAGATCACTCTCTTTGTGTTTCACGAAGAAGAGACAGGGCATGTTCGCTGGTTGGGGCTGGTGCTGGTTTGGACTGGCTGGTGCTGGTTTTTTGTGAGAGAAAAACACTGTTGGCTGGCTGGTTAGGGCTGGCTGAAATCAACAAGCAAACAGGCTGACAGTCTCTCGAGGTCCTGGGTTTAGATCACTCCATGAAATCCGCCGACGCGTCTTCAAGCCGCAGCGACACAAAAGTGGTGTCTGGTATGCGTAAGGGTGTTTACGTACGGGATGGGCGGCCCCCTCCTGTTGTAGCCTCCTCCCCTGGAAGCCAGTGTTCAAATCTGTAAGGTTAAAAGTGGGACTAACCCAACTCAAGTTTGTATGCATTATCATTTATTTTCTCAATTATCTTATAAGGACCAGCAGCTCTTGGCATTAGTTTAGATTTACGCAGCTCTAGAAATCTATCTTTTTCTCAAATGTAACCAAACCAAATCACCCATTCAAGTTTAACTTCTTTTCTACCTTCACTACCAGCATTTCTATACTTTTCATTCATCTTTTCAATATTTGCTTTAGTTGTTTCATGGAACTTACAAATAAAATCAGCATGCTTGCTAGCATCATTATGTGTTCTCTCAGTGGTAGGTAAAGGCAAAAGATCAATAGGAGCACGGGGTTAAAGCCATACACTACCTTGAAGGGACTTACCTTGGTGGTGGAGTGTTCTGCCCGGTTATATGCAAACTCCACTTGCGGCAAATACTATTCCCACATCTTCAAGTTGCGCTTCAATATTGCTCTCAACATGGTGGACAAAATTCGATTCACTACCTCAGTTTGTCCATCAGTTTGGGGATGACAAGTTATAGAAAACAACAGCTTTGTCCCCAATTTATTCCACAAAGTGCGCCAAAAATGACTCAAAATTTTTGCATCACGATCTGAAACAATAGTAGAAGGCATACCATGCAAGCGAACGATTTCTTGAAAGAATAGGCCAGCAATATGAGCAACATCATCGCTTTTATGACAAGGAATAAAGTGTGCCATCTTAGAAAAAACGATCAACCACCACAAAAATATTATCCCTCCCCCTCTTAGTCATTGGCAATTCCAAAACAAAATCCATAGATATATCAGCCCAAGTAATAGAAGGAACGAGAAGAGGCATATACAAACCATGTGGGTTCAACTGTGACTTTGCTTTTTGACATGTGGCGCACCAAGCCATGAACCGCTCTACATCTCACCTTATTCTTGGCCAAAAGAAATGTGTGGACAGCATGTCCTCCGTCTTCTTGGCACCAAAATGTCCTATCACCCCACCTCCATGTGCCTCCTGCAACAACAAAAGATAAACGGAACTAACTAGAATGCATAGGTGGTTAGCTCTAAACAAAAACCCATCATGTATCATATATTTATTTCATGTGCGCCCCTCTTTACAATTTTCAATAACATCTTTAAATTCATCATCATTTACATATTGCTCTTTAATCGTCACAAGTCCAAAAATACGACAATCAAGTTGGGACAGCATAGTATATCGTCTAGACAAAGCATAAGCAATTATATTAACCTTCCCTTTCTTGTGATTGATAACATAAGAAAAAGATTCAATAAATTCTGCCCACTTAGCATGTCTATGGTTTAATTTGTTTTGAGTTCTAATAGGTTTTAGCAATTCATGATCAGAGTGAATAACAAACTCCTTAGGAAATAAATAATGTTGCCACGTTTCGAATGTTCGAACAAGAGCATATAATTCTTTGTTATACATGGAATACTTAAGAATAGGCCCATTCAACTTCTCACTAAAGTAAGCAATGGGTTTACCTTCTTGCATCAAAACGCCACCAATACCAACTCCACTAGCATCACATTCAAGCTCAAAAGTCTTACCAAAATCTTACCAAGTTCTTACCAACGCAAGCAGTGGATGGTAACCGACGGTTTGGTTGTGATACCTGTGACGAAGTGGCTCCAAAATTGCAAAGGGTCTTTCTCTATACTGATCTGAAGAATATGCAGAGCTTGAAAGGCACATAAGAGAAAATTATGTATATGTGGCACACAAGTCAGTAACAGATAGTAATGTTGAATTATAGTTCCAAATACTTGTTCTCGTTTCTGGTCTAAAGTGTTTCAAGTACAAGGTGTGTGACAAACAATTATGGAGAAATAAGTATGATGGATAGTAAGAGCAACAGGAACAAGGCACAAGATAGCACATGCTAACACAACTCACTTTGGTCTTCTGTATGTGCTCCTCTAGATATCGTTTCTCTTTTGCCCCTATCTTTTTCCTTTTTTGGACTGTCGTTGTTTTTTTTGGGAAACTTTGACTTTTTATTTTTATTTTTTTGATATTTTTCACTTAGGAGCACACAAGAAGTAACCACAGAAAATTTGAGCTTAAACCAGTGAAAGACATGGCCTACGGAATTTTCAGAAGATGTGC